TAGAATACAATTGTTAGTACTGAAGCTTCATGAAAAAACAACTGGAAGATTACAAGCCAAAAATCTTTGGCAGTGAGGCCTCTGCCAACATGGGCGCGCCGGGCTTGACGCAGTTCATAAAAATTAGAAAGTCTAATCGAATTGCTTACTTGAACCTCCAAATAAGTAAACGACGGGAGTTCCATAGTAAATGGCGGAAGTAAACAGAAGTATTTCTCCGAACAAAAACGAGATACACCACAGCAAAAAGCTCTACGCTATTCAACTATGGTATGGCAGACATTAGATAAAGGCCAATACTTTTGCCAATGCATCTAAGCGGAAAACGATAAACAATAGGGAAGCTCTGACAGAGGGGAAAGGGGGGGGGGTCGAAAGCTAAGTGGGTAAAATTAGGTGTTCTACCGTTCGGGGCTTTCCTTAAGAAAATCTGCGCCATCTATGGAGGGCCAAAAACCCCGAAAAAGTTTTAAAGAACTAGCAAGGGCATGTGCGCTTTGGAAAAGACAGAATTGGGTCCTCCTTTGACCCTGGCAGACTCGCCATGCGGCCCAGACCAGACCAGAGAATAGATTGCTTTGCGGGCCAACTCACCTTCCATCCCATGGCTTCAAAACCAACGTGATTTCTGGAAAACGTAACAAAATGTGGTGATGGTGGGGCAGAAAATTGCCCTGCATTAGCGTATTTGCCGACAAAGCCGTCGCCAAGAATTATCTGCACTGCGAATGAGAAGCGACATTTGCAGTGTGAAAAGTTTATGTGTGAGTGAAGGGAGAGATTTGCGTCTGCAAGAAATTCAAAAATAAACCCACCAAACATTCCACGGGGGTGCTCAGAAACTTCTAGAAGCCTCAGACTTTTGGTGCATCGAACATGAGTGGAAGAGAGTCGTACTTTACCCTTCACTTCACTTACATTAGGACCGTCACAAGGGCATACCCAGAAAAGGACTTCTTTCTCCAACAACGATAAAAGGCCCTCTGAAGGTTAGTTTGCAAGAGAATATTGTTCGTAGGAAGCCGGCAGCGCTCGGGCAAAAGAGTGCAATCTGGGACAGGGCACATCATTAGTTGGGGATTTCGGTCGGGCCCGTACGACCACCTTTTTTTAGGGGGTTGCTATAACCCCCCTCCTGCTTCCATCCTCATCGAGCTGTCGAGAGGGGAGGAGGTGAGGGAGGGGTACATATCACATATGAAACGGGAAAAGCCGTGAGGAAAAACGACCGCTCTCTCTATCATTTTCCTGGAATTTCCCCAACTCTTACGAGTTTTTTGGAATTTCCCGAAAATTTTTCTACTTCTCGTAAAATTTCGCTGCAGAGCGGAAGGGGAGGGGGTACACATGAAATAGGAAAAACCACGAAAGTCAGCAACCTTCTTCAGAAAGTCAGAAGGGAAAAGGGAAATACGACCCCCCCCCTCCTTTACAAAGTCCGTCAAACAAGAAAAATCAACTGTGGAAGTAAATTTTTCTTAGCCCGAATACGATCCCCCCTCTCCCAGCGACCAGATACGACCCCTCTGTTGGGGAATCCCCAGCAAAGATGTGCCCTGATTTTGAAGCGTTTGGGGAAACGTTAGCCTAATAGATATTCGAGAGCGGCAACATCCTTATCCTTGAGCTTCACGGAAATTGTATTTCTATGGAAAACTAAGACCCTCAAAAGGAGGATTACTCGGGAACCATGCCTCGTAGACATTCCTTGGGCACGGTTGGGTGGGGAGGGTGGGAAGGGGTTGAGGGAGGTTACAGCATCAGGAAAGATGAAATGGTAGCGTCAGTACGACCAGTCATCTGAAACAGGGTTTTGATATTACCCCCCCCCATCTCCATTGCGGTGTTGAATTTTTATAAATCGCTCCTGATGCTGGTATTATGCGTTAGAGCAGGATACTTTTCGGGTAACCATCATGATGGCAGGCACCTCGGCCCAGTTCGGCTTGACGGGCAGGGGGGGTGGGAGGTGCAAAGGCGCTTTCGCTCTTAGAACGCTTCTCACGAAGCAAAGCAGCATTACAATGCACTAGGCCCTTTTTTCGTAACTTCATTGACTCCCTCTGGAAATTCCCCAACACGAAAAATATCTTTGATGAGTTTTCTATTGGATACTTGGGAAACACATGCGAGTTTTCATGCTATGAACGACCATAACTTCTTTATTGACTCACTTCTGTCCTAACGACCCCCATCTAGGCGACCGAATGCGCCCCTCCCCTCCCAGATGGACTTTTGTGACAATGCGGCTACCTTGGCAGAAGGGGGACGCCAAACAAGGCCAAAAGTGTGTCGCGACATTCGCGACAAGAGGTTGTATGTGACCTGTTGGAAGGAAAGGAGTGTGTTCAGGGGTTCGGCAGCGTTCAGACTTAGCGACGGTAGCGCTTCGGTCGCGCGTTGGACGCGATCAATGTGCATGCTTTCGACTGCATTGATCGCGTCGAACGCCTTCCGCTTCCAACTAACTGATGGAGCAAGAGCTTGTACCCAGCCAAACAGATCTTCCCTTAAACGCTCCAGCATAAGCAGCAAACAACACTGCAAGGCAGCGTTGAAAGGCATGCAGCAAGCTGGTGCCAAATACATCGCCGTGACATACACAGGCCATAGATGAAGTAGTTCTTGATGTCAACACGAGAATAATAGGGCATGGTTTTCGTGCAACTGCGCAATCTCCATTGATGGAGTAATCCTCCATCTGACAAGAAGTAAACAAAGAGGACTTCACTATGTTTACAGTAATTAGGCCTGCATTGCTTCTACGGACCACCTCAAAACACAGCAACATAAAGGAAAATGCATGCATAGTTTTTGTACTGACAGCCGCCACGATAACGTTCTGCCTCACCTGGCACATTAATAGATTATGCAGATGTATTGACGAAAGGGAACAAAAAGTGCCTTCACCACCTGTCGTTTCAACAAAATGGTTTTAAACAGCATATGAGAGCTAATTTTTCAAATCCTAATGGACTATTTCATTAGTCCCACCTGCTGCCCTGGACCTGAATTTTTTCACCTAAGGAGTCGAGCATCGCAACCAGGTCGGCAGTGCTGCTCGAGTGGGGCGTTACCAGAACCCTTTGGCGACAAACTGTTCACTAACGTGCGAGGACGGTCCTCTTCATATGCGAGGTATAAGGGTCCGCAGCTACATTAGCGTGCCATTTTTTCCACTCAAATATGCACGGGAACGGGGCTGGAGGGTAGTGATATCTGGATGTCCGTCTCCGTACTCCATCCGCCTATACTCAAGATGCAGCAGCTGCGTCGATGCTAAGATAACGCGCAGTAACACGCAGTCAGCGCGCAGAGAACAACTAGAAGTGAGAGAGCGCAAACAAGCAGCGCGTTTGGCTAGGGCTAGGCGTCTGGCTGACCGTGCGGCAGCGCTGGAGGAGTGTGGGGACGGCACTCGGTTATCACTACCTCCAGCCCCATTCCATGTACTTGTGAGCGGTACCATGCGCACGGTTTCTGCGGCGTGCACCCATCCACCTTATACAAACGGGGGGGGGGGGGGGGGCAAAAAAAAGTCATTCCGGCCGAGTCACATATGAGCGAAGTTTTCAGAGGAAGTGGATATGAGTACCAGGGCGGAAGATACCCAAGATCTTCCTCTATAAGCAGGAGCCGGCTGCCGCCATTCACCTTCATGTACACCAAAATATGAAGTCATCTCCAGTCGCGGCCTGAGTGGAGAACGCCTTTGGAATTCACGTGGCCTCCAAACAGCTGCGGAACTTCTTGAATGGAATCACCCATGGATAGCTACCTGGAGACAAGTACTCTTGATCTGCAAGACCCCAAACATCGAGCAGCTCCGGCAACGTCGCTACGGTCCAGGACATCATCTTCACCCCATTCACCAAGGCGCGGGTTGATGGTGTGGACCGGCCGTACCTGGAATGGATGAACCGATATTTTCTTCGTGGGCCCCAGACTGAGGGTGTGCGCTGGTGGCTACATCGAGCAACTCGAGGAGAATAAGATATCCCATCTTCAATGTCGTCGCCGTACCTTCTTTGCGAAACTTTGTACTGCTAACAGGATGGGTGACAACACATTTAATCGAAGGGCGTTGGAAAAACTTTCGCCTACTTGGAATGGAAGAACGTTGAGTACCTGGAAAGATGGAGTATTTAAGCGGGGTCCTGAACTAAACCCCCTCAATTACTCGGTTCGGGCGGAGCTCAACAGGGTGGTCTACAGTGGCGGAGAAATCAACGATCTCGCTCAACTCCGGTACCCACTCACTTTCGCGCGGCCGAATCTCTCGATGGCGCTCCTCCAGAAGGCTGTGGCGGAGTATCATTATAGTATTTAATGTGCTCTTTAATATGGTAGTAAAAATGTCCGATAAAAATTTAATAAAGTGTAACTTATAGCGCCTTGAAAGTCATGGAGGCAAAATGACTTTTTTTGCCCCCCCCCCCCCTGTATATGACAAAGACCATGATCCTCGTTGGTGCGAGTGTAGGTGATACTGGTATTCAGCAGATCAGAATACCCCGAAGACAACCTCCCTCAGGAAGTGATCCAGAAAAATCGACTATAACTTACGCTTTCCATTTTTCTGAACTATGAACTTGAATTTCGGCTTTCTGGCCTAGTTTTTGAGGTAATGGGACAGATCAGATGGATAATGAAATGACCCTTCTCCTATTTTAGTAACCCTTTCAAGCTTTTGCCAAATACATCGCGCAGATTTACGTAGACCACAGATACGATTTTCCGTGACAACCGGAAACCAATGGGGTTTTTTGTGAGTCAATCAATGTAACTAAACCTCATGCCGTGTCCGTTCAGGCCTTAACACACCACGCCATAGCTTTCAAGTTATATAAATGACATTTCCTGCGTTACGAAATGATGACAGAAAGTGAGAAGTATTGGATGCACGATACTGGGAGCCCGTTGTTCAATGGCTATTTTCCGTTGAGATTGAGCCATAGAAGAACTATGTGTCGATCCCCTCGTGGTGCTAGACTTTGTAAAGAAGCTGATTGTAGTGTTGCCTGGACCCCAATACTATTCAGCACACAGCACCTTTGGGTACTTGGTATAGCGGGGAAGGAGCCGCTATTTTCTTTGGGAAAATCCTTCTAAGCCACGAGAAGACTTGACTTATTGGCTTGTGAAAACTGGGGCACCGGCGGCCCATTCAAGGATCCCCGACAAG